TGTGTGTATGTAATATACATATATTTATATATACAAACACGTACATATATTTAATTATTTATTGCCTGTACAATTCCTCCCTCCAATACCCCCAAATATATCAGCTCTGAAGGCCAGATCTCGTCTTGTTGCTCTGCCCTTAGGGCCTGGAACAGTGCCTTACAAATATGGGTGCTTAATAAATTTCTTATGCATAGAATTTTTAAACAGTGCAATCATTCTTTTTTCAAATGTTTTTAGTTATATTAATTCTAAAGAACACATTTCAGTTCAGCTTTTTCTCACTCTCAACAATCCTAATTGTTAAGTCATTAGTTTACCATCATCCTGTTTTAACTCCTGGTGCCAGTTATTAGCAAGCCACTTAGCCACAGTTAAACAATAACCAGGATACATAAAAAGCGATATCCCCAAATAAGCACTTAAAAAGTCCACTGTGAAAATCAAGCTAACAGCATCACCCATTTCTCTTTTTCAAGTAGCTACCAGTTAATGACTTGTGATATACAGGCTGCACATAGTTATAAGGATATAAGATATAATAGAAAACACAAACTAAATTGCATTTTGCTTCACTGGATACTGAAATAATTTCAGCTCTCTGAGGTTTCCCAACTATAGCTGAAATGCAAAGTTGAAAAATAAGTAGATATGTGTATAAATCTTCAAAGTAGCTCCTGACTATAACCATTTTTAATATCCCATGTCGGCAGGGCCTTTTCTCATGCGTAAAATACCTTTACAGATAATGTCTAACCCGATCTTCAAAAACACCCTTGATATTATCAGGGCAGGTGTCAAGGGCTCCTATCTGGAGAATCAGAGAAGCCAAGTGATTTGATCAGGGTCACACGTGCAAGGGCCTGTGCATATATCTGAAAATAATTTTCAGAAACATAAGAAGCAAGAGGTCTGGCAGCGTGCTCCCGTATGATTCTTGAAAGAAATATGACCAGGTGATGAGACTGCATCTACAAGCCACACATGAAAATCAATTCCAGGGCACAGAGATGGGTCATAAACAGTGATCTTTCCATTTCAATGCATGAAACGAAATACGGTTTCGTGGGTGTCACCACAGCGTGACAGGCCCCATGGGTGCAGCACTGAAATGAAAACAGAGCTTGCCCAAAAGAAACAGATTTGATAGAAAAAGAATCAGAGAATGGCGTCTGGCATGGATGCAATGCCCAACTGCAGGGGATTCTCTGAGTCCAAATATAAAACTGTATCCCTCCGATTTTCGATTTACCAGATAAGTAATCTCAGGCAACAAAATCAGGTTGCCAACATCTAATTCTTTTGAATGAAAATGTTAAAAGATAATTTTTTTTTCGCCACAGGCAGTTAACTTGTATTGACTACTTGTTACGTGTAAGGTTCTGTCCTAGGCACCTTACATGCACATTAGCTCCTTCAGGCGTCACAGCCACACTAGGAGATACAACACTATTATTATCACCCCTGTTTCATAGATAAGACAAGAGAAACTCAGAAAAGGTACGAAGTCTTCCCAAGGTCACATGTCTAGCTCCGTGCAGAGCCAGGACTCAAACGCAGGCAGCCTGGTGCCAGAGCCCAAATTCTCAACTGCTGACTCCAGCTGTAGTATCCTCAGGCACTGGCATTTCATGAAAGTGATATTTTAGCATAAAACCAGGCGGGAAGCTCAGAATAAGAGTCAGTCTTTCAAATTTAACCTGTTTAGCTGTATGAAAAACTCAGTGGTTTTCCCCGTTGGCTCAGATTTTTGCAAACGTCATCACAGACCTCCACTGCCCAGCAGAGCACTCGGTACGCATGATTAGGGAGAATTTGGAAAAGGATAAAATAAAAGTGAACTCCGAGACGTTCAGGGTAGAAATATATACTGGATCATTTCATTAGAAAGAGAACATAGATCCTTCATGTTGAAGAGGCCTTCAGGTTCAGCCAGCTCAATCCTCTCGCGAGTATAGAATCTCCTTCTGCAAGGCCAGGTTGCGCCTGAACCCACCAGCCACTGGAAACTCATTATGCGTGACTTAGCTCTTGTCAAATCTGCACAGACACCCTGCTTGTCCCCATCCTCTTTCTCAATTCTTCCATCATTCCTCGGTGGTTGAGCAAAGTTCCAGAACATTTCCTATCCTGGGTGGGTGCTTTCCCTTGAGCACAGTCTATTCTGTGCTTTCTCTCTTAAAATGTGGGGACCAGAAGTAAATGTGACAATAATAGGGAGGCTTCCTAGCACTGGTAGAAAAAGACTATCACCACCTACAACACAGGCTTTGCTTTCTTCATGCAAAAACCTACACGTACATTAGGGTTTTTTGTTTGTTTGTTTTTCGTTTTTGTTTTCTGGAGGGGGTGGTGAGGCAACAGCATTACAGAGTGATTAACAGAATACGGACCGTACTGTAGATGCATATGTATTTAAACCTAATCCTCAATCTCTTTTTTTATATGTGCTGCTGCTAAATTTTATTACTCTAATTCCAGACACATACTCTTGGCCTTTTAAACCACACGGGATGGATGCCCAATTATTCCTACTACCTGTCACCCTATTAGATTCATCCGCTGTTCATGCCTGGCCAAGGCCGTTTTCCATCTTCCATCTGCTTTGCAGAATGCTCAGTGTCTCTCTAAGGTTTTGAGATCCGTGACTTGCTCTTGCTGAACCCTAAACACTTGCGAACCATCTGAGGAAGAGGCCAGGACGGCACATTTTTCAGTCTAGAGTGTGTAGCATCCACCTTCCCCCTTTTCATTCCGTCCTGCATACCACAATTTCAAGCGGCTCACCTGGGCACTCAACAAGCTCTCCTGCAGATTTTCTCAAAAGTCTCAGTTCAACAAAGGGTGAAACTGTATTTCTTCCGACAGTAGAAGGCTCATTCAACTTCCCTTTCCTCACCCACCCAGCATCTCCCCCTCTCATTTCTAGCTTTGACACTCTCACCTAACATATTTCTATTTCCTAAGATTGAGTTGTTCGACCACAGCTTTTTCAAAAATGCTCAATCCCTGTGCAGGACAGGTATGCAACAGTGTCCACGGCAGGTTACAAATAGTAAGAGGAAAAAGCCTGCTTTCTCATCAGGCTTCCTTGCCTAAGTGAGATTAAACCTCTAAGGCACAGGGCTGGCATGCAAATATCCATTCAGGATTGGTTTTAATGTTTTAAAAAAGGACTGCCATTCTACTATGGAAGTTTCTACATTTACACATCATGCAGCCATAACAAAAAGGCTTCTTGAAAACAGATATGCATGCCTTATATTTAGGGGAAATGTAGACAAAATCATGTTGATACCTGAAATGTACAGGCACAAAACCAGGAGAAAAGACAAAAGAACAGAACTGAAAACAATAGGTAGGTGGGGTTGTCAGTGACTAGAATGACAGACTGGATCCTTTCTCCCACCTAGACAATGGGATTCTAACCTTCTTTTGGAGAGGAAGGAAGGCCATCTAGCACCATGCCCCCAAACAGGATTCCTCAAAATAAGGCTGAAGTGAAAGAACACAAACTTATTGCTCACAGAGCACGCGGGGAGGACCGCAGGGGCTTCTATTTCCCTGCCCCTAGTAAGGGGGTCACAGTATTGGCCCCAGTGACTTCAAGAGGCAGTTATAAAATAAATAACAGATTTGAAGGCAATTCTTATATTGTAAAGTGATAGATACAGTGTTACACAGCTATTGTTTGCATTACGACAGATGATAAATTATTTCAAAAAGGCAGGGAAATTTTATGCAGTTAAACAGAGAGAGGAGATGACATGGTATAGAGAAGTGAGGAAGAGAAAGTGTTGTCAAACTCCTTTCTCCTTGGACCGCCCATGGCGGCTGTGGGAATCACCACAGTTCTTAGACCAGAGGCTCTGCTCTGAGCGTGATGTGACCATGGGGGCGTGGGACATGGGAAACAGACCTAGGTGGACAAGGCAGGCCCAACAGCACATACCCCAAGAAGAGAAAGGGTCCTGTTCCCTCTTCTAACAAAAATAGTTTTACAAAAATAATTGTTTTTCCATGAGCTTTGGGCTTTTCGAAACTATACACTCCAAATTATGAAGAAAGAATGCAGCAGTTACCATTGTTAAGGTTTAATCATTTCTCCTACCAGACAGGGTCAGACTGCACTCTGAGTACTTTTAAATCTTAAGAGGAAACGAAACCTACTGATAAGTGTCCTCTTAAATAATGCCACCCGAAGAATCAATTATCTCCATAAAAATTTCTTGAGTCTCCTCACCTCAGCCCTCAATTCAGTGCAAGAATCTGCACTTAAATGATGAAAGAACACTTCAGTATCCCAATCTGTCACTTCTCTCTACTTCCGACCCAAGAGCAGCCAGACAGAAACAGCACTCGAACCTCTAACGGGCTCTTTCTTTAGGGTCTGATTTTTATAAGACTCTGCATTTCTCTCTCCATCAACCCACAGAGCGGGCTCTGCACAGTCAATTAGAACTTTATCATCTAAGAATTTAAAGCCGGCGTGCAGTCCACAAATCACCCTGGCTTATTTTACAAATGGGCCCCATGTCATTGGCAAGCAGCCCCTCCATTCAATATCCGTCCATAAAAACACAGCTTTAAAGCTATCGCTAAGATGGAATCTAGCCTTCCAAAGGCCCTCGAGGCTACAAGCACATCAACAGGGAACACAAAAACAAAGGGACCCAGATGAGAGGCGCTGACCTATGAGCAGACATCATTAAAGCAAACAGTTTCTGTCAACTTTGGGATGATTCCTGTATGAACTAGGTGATACTCCTAGGAAGGTGTAAATTAAGAACGGGGGAAAAGGGGGCAGAGGCCTCCTGAGAGATACCAGACCTTGAGGTTTGAAGTCCACAGGCTACTGGGTTGCTGTCCACAGGTGAAGGGACCTTTTGTACCCACACAGGGTCCCAGCAGAGCTGAGGGAAGTGTGAGCCACCTGCACGGAGGTTGCAGGTCAAAACCCAGAAGACACTGACAAGTGGTCCCAGCATCCCCGGACTCACCAGCACACTTGGTTCTGGTTCTGAGAGCGGGCCCAGGAGAACCGGTGCCACCCTCCCCTGGCCGGGTGAGAAGCACGCTGATCTCATACTCTGTGTCTGGGTCGAGATGCCCGATCTTGTAGCTCGTGGAGTCCACTGGCTGCCGGTCGCTCCAGCTCCCGCTGGCGGTGCAGTATTCCACCTCCCGGGCCACGATGGGCCCATCGCCATTGATGGAGTTGGCGTTGAGTTGGATCCACAGGTAGGTGGCCCCCACGGAGGCCAGCTGAGGGGGCGCGATGGGGACAGGGGGCTCTGAAAGGCAAACCGGAGGCCATCCTTCAGACACTTGAGATGAGCTAAATGCACATCAATTACTAAAACAGGGAAGACATTAACATTTCATCAATGAACTGATGAGAATGGTTTTGCTCAGGTTAATACGAAAAAGCATACTGAGGGAGGTTTGCATAGCGTTCACATCTGTGAAATAAGCCATCTTTAAAACCGAAGCCTGCTCAGGTAGGTACATCCCCAGTTTGTTTTAGGACACAATTCATTTTTCTCGAACAGCTACATAGGCACCAAAGGATTTTTTTGCACTAAAAGTGACTTGTGAAAACTCTCTCAAGTGGTAGTAATTGAGCTCTAGAAGTCTCTCCACTGTCAAGCGTTAAAAAAACAAACAAACAAAAAATAACCGAGTGTCTTCAAAATCACCCAAGGTATTAGTTATATCATTAAATTCAGTCTCCTTATATTTGTATTCCAAAGATATCATCACTTGGAAAACACGGATGAAATTATAGTTTATCTCATCATAAATGCATTTCCAGGATGACTCGTTTCCCCCCAAAAGCTATCCCAATGGACTCGTTCTGCTCCGGGAGCAGTGAGCACTTGGGGTGATAGAGTCCAGCACTGCCACTGTTCAGGGATCTTGCAGTAATGAGTCTTATTAAAGCGGTGAATAGAAAGAAAAGCTCTAAAGCAAAGCACAAGTCATGCCCAGCTTGATAAAACTCTAAGCAATCAACGGCAAACACTCTTTACAACCCAGGAAGGTCTCTCTCATTGTTGAAAACCTGAGACTGACTTTTTCTGGATCTTTGTCTGAGACAGGAGAGAGAGGCAATCTTGTTTTCAACAGTATATCAGGTGCCAGCTGAATGGCTCTCCAGGCACCAAATAAAGGCATTCCATGTGCCAGTGTCACTGTGAGTGGCACCACACATGACATTAGGGAAGGAGATAACTGTATGAAATAACGTATTTCTATTTAATGAATCTCCATCAGAGAAAATGTTAAGTCCTAGTGATTTTTTTCAAGGATGTTTCTGCAGGTGGTTTGGGCCTTTTGGTGTGTTTTTGTTTTTAGCTCCTCATTTAGCTCACACAAATGCATGTAAAATAAAGCCTGCTATCCTTTTACTGGCATATGCACCTGTCTGCTCCACAGCAGACATAACCCGTTGCTCCCTGTCATGCTTCCTGCTAATGGGGACCTCACGACAGCTGGTCCCATCTGAGGTTGGCCCCTAAGATGATACCAGGTAGATCCCTAGAACAACAAGAAACCATCAACGCAAGTTCCTTTTGTTGGGTTGGGGCATCTTTGTTCTTTAACATATTCAACATGTGGTAAGTCATACTGACTTTTAAAATAGCTGGGGAAATCTCATGAGACTGAGTCTAAATAAGACACTTAAAAGATGAATTTTAATTGGGGGACCATAAATTTAGTGCAAATTTACTAAAATATTGTTTCTATTATTTATAAACTACAACTTTGTGCTAGCTCTTAGTTTGTTTAGATAGTTTTGATTCAACTCATAATGATTTAACATCAATTTATATCATTAGGAGATTCCTTGAACCAAGACATGAAATGGGCCTTTCATAGTATATCCTAAGACATTTACATAGGCAGGCTGAAAGAGCAGTTAATTACTTTGAAGTTGCAAATGCTAGCAAGGGTTCCTGAACTGCCATTCAAAATATAACTCGGGGCAAAGCCACAAAGGTTAGTGAGCACACAATTCATTTAGGACGTTGTCACTGGTATCCTAAAATAGATAGGACTTTAATGCTTATTTGTCCCAACGCTACTTTCTCTATTAGTTCCCCATTAAGAAGAGTACCAAATACGTTAAATCAAAGGAAAGATTCAACTAGAATTTGGAAATCATTGAGACAGCCATTCAAAAGAACTTTGACGTTGCTGAAAGAATCTGTACAAGAATAAATTTTTTTTGAATTTTATTTCTTTTTTTTATAGACCAGGTTCTTATTAGTTATCCACCTTATACATATTAGTATACATATGTCCATCCCAATCTCCCAGTTCATCTCACCACCACCACCCGCCCCACCCGCCACTTTCCCTCCTTGGTGGCCATACGTTTGTTCTCCACACCTGTGTCTCTATTTCTGCCCTGCAAACCGGTTCATCTGTACCATTTTTCTGGGTTCCACATATATGCGTTAATATACGATATTTGTTTTTCTCTCTGACTTACTTCACTCTGTATGACAGGCTCTAGTTCCATTCACGTCTCTACAAATGACCCAATTTCGTTCCTTTTAATGGCTGAGTAATATTCCATTATATATATGTGCCACATCTTCTTTAACCATTCATCTGTCGATGGACACTTAGGTTGCTTCCATGTCATGGCTATTGTAAATAGTGCTGCAATGAACACTGGGGTACATGACTCTTTTTGAATTATAGTTTTCTCAGGGTATATGCCCAGTAGTGGGATTGCTGGGTCATATGGTAATTCTATTTTTAGTTTTTAAAGGAATCTCCATACTGTTCTCCATAGTGGCTGTACCAATTTACATTCTCACCAACAGTGCAAGAGGGTTCCCTTTTCTCCACACCCTCTCCAGCATTTGTTGTTTGTAGATTTTCTGATGATGCCCATTCTAACTGGTGTGAGGTGATACCTCATTGTAGTTTTGATTTACATTTCTCTAATAACTAGTGATGTTGAGCAGCTTTTCATGTGCTTCTTGGCCATCTGTATGTCTTCTTTGGAGAAATGTCTATTTAGGTCTTCTGCCCATTTTTGGATTGGGTTGTTTGTTTTTTAATATTGAGCTGCATGAGCTGTTTATATATTTTGGAGATTAATCCTTAGTACTTTGACTCATTTGCAAATAATTTCTCCCATTCTGAAGGTTGTCTTTTCGTCTTGTTTATGGTTTCCTTTGCTGTGCAAAAGTTTTGAAGTTTCATTAGGTCCCATTTGTTTATTTTT